TCAAAGCACGAGATCGAACCCTAAATTTTCATGTGAAAAATTTGTCTAGCGGGTTTTCTCTTCTTGGATTTTCCCATCAAGACGCAGCAATTTCTGTACGATCGTGTGTGGTTTATAGCAACGTCGCATTGGGCTATCTGCCGTGTCCACGAGGGGGATCGAACCTCCGATTTTAGCGTTGTTATTCCGTAGATTGACCACTGTCCCACTGGGGGTCCTGTACGATCGACTCACACTTTTAGGGTTAGAAAAACATGCATTATGTTGTATCTACCTATGTATAATAAGAGAACTGTCAGCGCATGCTTCAACCCTCAGTTGCTCAGCAGTGCGCTCGAGGGCTTATAACACTAAAATTGTGGGTTCGATTCCTGAGTTGGGCACTTCACAGATAGAACTTCGTACAGCTTTGCACTTAACAACAAACACACAGTGTCCGTATCTTTAGTTATTTTAAAATGTAAGATGAGTTAGTTCAAAATATAAATGTTATCATAGTAGTCAAAATGGCTCTGTTCTTGCCCGTGATTTAAACCTGCAGAAAAACCTAAAATATGAATAACTGTTCTTTTCATCGCAACCGTTAACATTGTTGTAATAACCGTAGTTCTACTAAGAATAACAACTCTCGCGAGAACGCGGAGTTTCTTTCTTACTTATTTGCTTTCGCCAATAGAAAACGAGACCAGAATAACGCGTTGGTAATAAACGTATATCATCATTTTTAAACAATTCGCAGGGTCAGATTGCAATGCCGGTATAACCCATGTGATTCGAACATTTGTACAGACCAATAATTCTATGAAATCCCTGCCAGCAAAGCCGGGATTTCGAGAGTAATAACCAATCTTATAAATAAGTCTGAGACTCTGACTCGCCGAGAAGAACCCATGAATACAAATGACTCGTTTGAGCAAAATTCAGGCGGTCCACCAGGGGTGTTCTCGTGCCTTAGAATCAAGCTTTTAGTTCGCCTTATGACGATAATGTCACCATCGAATCGTTTGATCAGAAAAGATCTTTTGAGATTCACTAGCAGAAAAAGCTGAGGCGCTGATTCCCCTCTATCTTTGTTAAAAAAAAATATATATATATATTATCTAAAACGAAGTATCTTTCTCTTTTGTCGTATCATCGCAAATAAATATATGTGCATAAATCAAGCTGAATGTTAGAATAAATCCAGCGAAGTCGTTAGGTGATTTCAGTTTAATAAATCTATGTTTCAAAATGTGTTTTTTTTTTTTTGTTTAGCGAATCTGATACAACTGTCTGTTAGGGCCGGGCGTGGCTAAGTAGTTAGCGTGGTCGAATTGTGGATTCAAAGATTCACAGTACGTGTCCCATTATCGTAAGCTCTCACTCGTACTGGAGTCGTGGATAGACGAAAGGGAAGGCGGTTAGCCAACAACACCCACCGCCAACTCTTGTCTGACGAAATGATGGGAATTGATCTCCACCGTTACAGTTGGATACGTTATAGTAAATATTTTTCCCATATAATATAATACATAACGTGATTTATAATGAAGTATGTTATTAATCAAATTGTTTACTAAATGAGCTGCCACGTACGAGGGTGTTAAAAATACTTAAACATGGTTATATTATAAAAACAGTGATTAGTGTAAGTATAAGAAAATAAACCGAATTTAGGAATACGATGTTTTCGCATCTTGTTTACACCTACAATGTCTTGCCTGACCTGGATTATAGGGGTAAACATAATATTCTTACATATCTGACTGCTCCCTCTATCGGTTCTGATACTATAACATTTTTGCATATCTGACTGCTCCCTCTATCGGTTCTGATACTATAACATTTTTGCATATCTGACTGCTCCCTCTATCGGTTCTGATACATACACAAAAGTAAAGTGCAATAGAAAGATTTTTTGTTCTTAATTTGTAGTACAGTTGAGGAAATTTCTTGACCTCATCACAAAACAGTCAAATATTCTATTCGAAATTAACGACACAGATGAATTAATGATGAAAAGCAATAATAACAGTAATCATCCAACTGGGATTTTATCTTCACTTCCGATGTACGTTGAGCAAGCTTTTCACACTTCTTTTCAAGTTGTTTAAAGAGTATTACATCTACCACAAAAAATATATAAATTTAATTTTAAATTCTTGTCAGAGAATGTTTATAAAAACTGTGGGATTGTTTATACAAGAATTACTTAAAAACAAATTGTTTTTAACAAACCACTCGTTTCGTTCAATGATGTACTGCTTGTTTATAAAAACTGTGGCATTGTTTATACAAGAATTACTTAAAAACAAATAGTTTTTAACAAACCACTCGTTTCGTTCAATGATGTACTGCTTGTTTATAAAAACTGTGACATTGTTTATACAAGAATTACTTAAAACAAATTGTTTTTAACAAACCACTCGTTTCATTCAATGATGTACTGCTTGTTTATAAAAACTATGGCATTGTTTATACAAGAAGTACTTAAAACAAATTGTTTTTAACAAACCACTCGTTTCATTCAATGATGTACTGCTTGTTTATAAAAACTATGGCATTGTTTATACAAGAAGTACTTAAAACAAATTGTTTTTAA